TGATATAATAGTCAATAAAAGTTTTAAATTCAATGTAAATATCAGTCATTATTATTTATTATTATTTATTATAAAGATAGTGACCTAAATAATCTGTTCAGTTTATTTTACTGAAAATATATCATATTATTATAATAAAAATAAATAATATTTATTAACTTAAAAGTTATTAGTGATTTTGTTATATCTTGTATAACATTTTCTACAGATAATAAAATTTTTCAGAAAGATAATATTATATCATATTATTCAAAAGTTGTTATGATCACATATGAAAATGCTAGAATTGTGAAGCTTGATTGACAGATACAATTACCAGATCTCAATCCTATTGAAAATATTTGGTCAAAAATAATAAGGATAGTTTACTATCACTCACTATCACTATTTAGTATTACAGAATATGTTAAAGATATATGAGATGATCTTCCTCCTAAATATTATTGAAAATTTATCAATATTGTATCTCAGAGAATTAATGCAGTTAGTTTCATAAATGAAAATAGAATTAATTATTAAATTTTTGTAAATTCAATAAAAATAGACTTAATAAATATGTTAAACTTAAATTTTAATTTTAATTTTGTAAAATATATATAAATTTTTTAATATTGAAAAGTAGCTGGATTATTTAGGTTACTATCTATAACATAAATTAAAATTATTTTTTAATAGATTTGCAAATGAAGTTCATAAATTAACTCTAGCTAAGCAAATTAAAAAACTCTTTGGTATTTTTATGGTAGTATTAGTATTTAGCCATTTGGTTAGTATTTGACTATGACTATTTGGCTATTTAGTTACAACCTAAATAGCCAAATTTATTTTAAGTTTGGCTGGCTAAAAAATTTTTTTTACACAATAGCTCATAAAAGAAAAAGAATATAATTAGTTAATTGTAAAAAAAATTTGGCATCTTAATATTTAAGATGTTAAAAATTGCAAAAATTGATACTTCTAACATTTAAAATATTTTATTTTACAAGAATTTTTAACGTTTTGAACATTAGAGACCAATTTTTTTTAATAAATTGCAATTTGCAAATAAATCGTAACCAAAATTGGTAAAGTCATGTGACATTTAGCTAATTTTAATTATTGGCGATTTGGTCACTGATTTTAGCCAATCAGCCAAATCAGCTAATGGCCAAAAAATTAGGCTTAGCTATAATCAAATGCTAACTATACTTTATGGGTAGAAACTGTATAGGAAAAGGTTGATTTAAATTTGATTTATAAATCATTTAAATATTGAGATATTTCAATTAAAACTGATAGTGTAAAATATGATATGATTTTTAATTATGATGATCTTATAGTAGATGAAGATAAAGAAAATAAATCAGATAAAATACCATATAGTCTCAAAAATAAGCACCCTGTAATATGCTTCTTTTATAGTAATTTATTTATTTGTTGCATGAAATTTATTATATTATTATATTAATAAATTTATATATATTATATAATGCTTATTTTTAGGACTATTCAGTAGTAATAATGAAGGTAATGAAGGCAATAATAATAATGAAATTGAATACAATAATTGAAATGATTTTTAAATAATGAAATTTAAATAAAATAATTTTTTTTAATTTGTATTATATATATTTTTATTAAAATTTATTAATTCTGTTAAAAAAATCACCTATATATACTATCTGAGTTTTTTACAAATTTTTAGTCTAAAACCTTAGAAGTAGTTTATAAAAGAAGAGTAGATTAGTTAGTGTTTACAGTAATCATTCTAATCAAACAATTTTCTTATTATTAGTTTAGATCAATATATTATCATTCTAATAAACTAACTTTATAGATTAAATTAATTTACTAAAATAATATCAAATATTTAGAGAACTTGCCAGTATATATAGAAATATTTATATAAATAAACTTAACTTTTTCACTTTTTAAAATAATTTTAACTCAAATTTTATCTTTTTATAATCATTTTCAAATTTTCTCTTTTTATACCTAACTATCAAATTAGATAAAGAAAAGCTAAAACTTAAGTTAAATTTTAGTTAACTTTTCAAATAATAAACTAATTTTTTACTTTTAATAATAAAAACATTTCTCTAACTATCAAAATTAGATGAAGAAAAAACTAAAACTTAAATTAAATTTTAGTCAATTTTTCAAAATAATAAATAAAAAATAAATTTTTTTTACTTTTTATAATAGAAATATGTCTTTAACTATCAAAATTAGATAAAGAAAAAACTGAAATTTAAGTTAATTTTTCAAAATAATAAACTGATATTTACTTTCTATAATCAAAACATATCTTTAACTATCAAAATCAGATAAAATTTAAATTAAATTTTATTAATTAACCAGTAATTTTACAAAATAATAAACTAATTTTTTTATTTTATAATAGAAAAATACCTCTAATCATTAAAATTAAATGAAACTTAAGTTGAATTTTATTAATTAACCAATAATTTTTTAAATAATAGATCGATTTTTTTATTTTTATAATTGAAAAAAGATAATTTTAAATGATTTAATAAGAAAAGATAAATTTTTTTTTTTATTATTTTTAGATAATTTTGAAGAATTTTTGAAAGGAAATAAATCATATTTTTATTATTTAATTCTTTTTTTTCTAAAAATGACAATATTATAATAATAAATATTTAGAATATTTAAGGACATTTTAAGAAAAAATGGATTAATATTTTTATTATTTTATATGATTTTTTCATTTTTACTTATATTTTTTAAATAGAAAATTAATCAATAGATTTTGATAATATTTTTGTTATATTTTTGAAAATTATATTAGATTTTTATTATTAATAAAATTTTAATATTTAATTAAATTTAATAAATAAAAATATCAATTTAATATATTTATTTGATTAAATTGATACTAAATTAAGATTAATTTTAGATTAATTTATAGTTATTTATATTTAAATTGATGCTAATTGATGCTAATCTTAGGCTAATTTATAACTGTTTAAATTTTAAATTAATGTTGAATTGATATTAATTTAAGACTGATTTATAATTGAATTTAAGTTTCTGAATTGATGATGAATAGCTATATTTGATTAGAGTTAATCAGTATTGATCAGCAAGTATTTGTGCTAATCAAAAAATATGGTAAATTACTTGTAAATAGTATTAAAATCAGCTTAAAATTAGTTATCTAATTTCTAACTAATTTAAACTGCTATATTTTTGACTAATATTAAGATATTAAAAGTTTTAAAATAAGCTAAATTTTATAAAATTTATATTATTAAAATGGATTTAACCTTATTAATTAAAAGTTTTTACTATATCATATTATAAATTTGATCAATTATAAATAAATTTCATAATATGTAATACTCCATTATAATAAAATTTATTATATTATATTAAATAATTTATTATAATATTAACAAATTTTTATAATAAAAGTTTAATTAACCTAAATACTTACTTCATTATATTGAGATGTAATTCTAAGTACTTATAATAATAATAATAATGTTTAATTATATAGATATTTTGTAGTAGAAAAAAGAAAACTACTAAAATTTTTTTGAATTAATGTTAAATCTGAATTTATCTTATTAAAAAAAATAATATTTAGCTTATAAAATAAAAAATTTTTTGGTAATTTTCTCACTTTCTATTCAAAGTGCCTATATAGTGATTTTATTATATAATTTATTAATTTAACTAATTATTAGATAATTTATACTGGTCTAAAATATAATAAAGATAGATAAATAACTAATACTTATATTAGTTAACTATATAAGACTAATTAAAAATACTAATAATTTAAATTTAGAATCAAAAAATAAAATTATTTTGATTATTTTGATTTTTTTTTTACTATTTAAAGTTTAATATTATATATAATTATTATTAAATTTAAAAATCAAATTTGATTTTTAAGTGAATTTAATAATATTAAATATATAGTAAAAGTTATTTATCTTTAAAAATCTATTTTAGAAAAATTATTATAATTATCAATAAAATGTAATATTTCTTATAATTAAAAGTAATTAGAACTTCTATTCATTCATCTAATTAGATTTTGATTAACTTTTAATAGAATGGAAACAACTTGTCTTAAGCATAATTTATATAATTATTATTTAAAATTAAATACTTTATTATTATTCTTATATTAGCTTATTTAAATTAATAGGATTTATTATTACTAATAAAATAAAGTAGAGTATTTTATTACTTATAGCAAAAATATAGCATATGAATAAATAAAAAATAATATGTATTTTTGACTTAATATTTATAAATAGTTTGAGTTATATATATAAATGAAATAAATCTTAAAAATCAAATTTTATGAAATTACTAATACATTTTTATATTAAAATAATATATATATGTTTTTATAAAAATATAGATTTAAAATAATTCAAGAATCATTTTTCTTTATATTTAAAATAATTTTTAAATAAAATTATTTAGAAACTTTTCCTTTAAAACACAAAACTTAAAACTATCAAAAAATTTAAACAGAAATATTTTCAAAGGTAAATGTTACACACGAAAATATTTTTCTCGACAGCCATCCTATAGGTTGTAAATAATGCATTTGTATGTCATCGTACTTTTGTGTCCATAACGCCGAACTGCATTTACTATCAGGTAATCTCTAGATATTTTATCGCGATATATTTTTGCTATATATACAGCACGTTCCTTTCCAATAAATTATTTTTGGCCAATCTAAAACAATATAGCAAAACCCACGTGTCATCAGCAAAGTGAGTTTTAATTGGAGAAATCAAATAAATCCTTATACCTTAATCCTTATCCTTATCCTTACTTTATTTTAAAAAATCCTTTATATTTTGGATTGAATCCAGTTTGGTGATCCAATGCGACCTGATATGTGGTTCAAGATAGTTTATATATAATAAATATAATAAACAGTTAAAATTTAAATGTGAAACTTTTCAATTTTCTTTTTTTTCAACTTGATAAATGTTTGTTAAAGAAAGAAAATTACAAAACCAACAATGACGTCGCAATATGATCCATTCGAACCTGAAGTACTTGGGTTAGTCAGTCAGAACACTAATAATAGCAATTATGAAGCATCTATCTCATGTAGTCCCGATGTTCAGCAACTTTTTTTTCAAGCACTTAGCTCAGGTACAGTTGTTGCAGCTAAACATTCGTTCTTTCATAATATATCAGTAAATCTGTACAAAATCACTTGTGAAGAAATATTAGATACGTTTGAACCGATGACAAGCAATACTGTTACCGTCAAAGTTTTTTTATTTATACATAATCAGATAAATTACAAAATAACCTGCGAATATATTCCATCCCCAATGGCTGTTGATATATTGAATAAAGTAGTTTATGATGTTGATACAAACTTGAATGAGCAGCAGCAACGACCGTTTGTGGAGTTTCCTAAAGAATATAAAGTCGACTTTGAGTCTTCCTTGAAACCATATTTAGATATGTATCTGGCACAGATTCACATTCGGAATGATCAAAGTGGTAATGAAAATGGTAGATATGTTTTTAAATTGATTGTTTCGTTCAGGAATTTGGGTTCCACAAAAAAAAAAAAATACTTGTTTAAGTCGATCCGAATTCGAACGAGTTATTAATTGAAATTTATTTATATCCTCCTCAGACGTATTCTTCATTGAAGCCAAAGAAGATGAAACATATCCGTGTAAAAAATGGACAAAAGAAATTACTGAAGCATTCATTTGTATTTTGAAGAATAAGATTCAAGAACTTGTTAGTTGTGGTTCCATATCTAAGAATATTTCAAAAAAACATTGGGAAATTGTCTCAAAAGAGTTGAAGGACCTCTCTCACCATTATACTCCTAAACAATGTGCCGTTAAATTTAAAAATCTTAAAAAAAATTGCAAGGTAAATAGTTTTTCTTTATAAAAAAGTTAACATTATTCGTTTTTTAATAAAATGAATTTTTAATTAGGATAATACCAGTAAATGTCAATATAGGAACTCAGTTCAAGAAATTCTCGATATAATTGATTCAGGACAAAAAAAATAAGTACCCGATATTTAGTTTTATTATTCAATGTATTTATATCGACTTTTTAATATATATATGTTATTTATTTAATTTATTGATAATACGTAGATTCACATTTGTAAAAGTTACGTAACAATTTTTTTTTACGTAATTTTTTTTAATATTTAAGGAGCGTTGTCAGTAAAATCACATTACAGATTAATTTTATGACTTGTTTCACTGACAACATTTCCACTTATTTACGTTAGATTTTTTTTTTTCTAAAACATTAATGTATTATCAATTAAAGTTTGGTTTAGCACAATCATAGCACAATATTTTTGAAAAGTTTCTGTCAAACAAAATTAAATACAAATAAGAAAGTTTCGGACAACTAGCACTTGATGCTCCAGAACAATTGCCATTCTGTGAGTCCAAATCACCTCCGCTATTACCAATTTAGTTACAGTTTTTTGGGAATAGATCGGACCGGATTGACCGAAAATTGCTAATCAGAGATCATGATCATCAGTTTTGTAGTTCACCTTGATTCGTCTGAGCACGTTTTAAAATGTTTTCTTTACTTGAAGGTTTAGGTTCGTCTTCTAAAGTATATGCAAATAATACATTAGATGTTCATTGTTTACGATTCATGGGAAAGTTATAGATCACTCGGTCCCAAAAATTTTTTTCGAAATTCTTAATATCGGGTGATCATGTGATAATTGATAGACAACATTTTTTTCACTAATAATCGTATGTGATTATTACTTGTAAGGTAGCTAATTTTGAAAAAGCGACAGTTTTGATCCAAAAGCAAACCTTATTTATTTATTTTTACCCACAACTTAATACTCTCAATCAGAGGGCATTTATTGATAGTTGTGGATTGATAGTTGTGGAATAGGGAATTAAATTAATATCTTTACCCTAATCCTTTTTAGCCTTGTATCAACTAAATTATCGATCTTGATAGTGAGATATATTTCTTGATAGATCAATATTTCTTGATTGCGTTCAAAATTTAAAACGACGATATGAAAATTTTAAACATTTTAAAAGCGATAGGTATTTATTTACATTTTATTTTAAAGTCAAATTTATTAAATTTATTTTGCATTTTGAAACGGAATAAAGAATACTTTGATTAAATTGATCATTATATTGAAACTATGAAAATAAAGGAAGCGTTGATGATTGTATAGAAACATCATTAAAAGTAGTGGATCATTAATTATATAATTATTTAAAGAAGATGATGAGACATAAAAGTGGGTGCGTATATAAGTCATTTAAAAGGACGCATGTGTGAATTATTAAGGTACTTATAAATCATTTAACATAGGATGCGTATACGAATTATTTTAAAAAGGTAGATCATCTAAAGAAGTGTGTCATGTATGAATTATTAATGGAGGGCGCGTTTTAAAGAAAGGCTATGTATGACTTATTTAAAAAAAGGATATGTGTATGTATTATTTAAAGGAAGTTGTGTGTGCAAATTATTAAGGGGAGACGTAGATGGTTTAAAGAAGGATATATATATGAATTCTCTAAAGAAAGATAATGTGTATATAAATTATGTAAAGAAAAGGATGGGAATTTGTTTTATAAAAAAAAGAATAAGTATTTAAATTATATAAAAAAGGAGAATGTATATTGTAAAAGTAAAAATTGAAAAGAATTTAAATTAATAATAATTTTAAAAATTATAATATTATCATATGATTTTTAAAAAGATAGCATATTTACATTTGATAATTTATAAGAGCATCTATAATTTGAATTTATATTTTTAATTAATATTAGAATTTGTCTAAAATTAAAATTTAAAACAATAAATATTTTTTAGTTTTTTCAATAAGTTTTTATTAATTTTTACTTATAAAAGTTATTTTATATAAATAAATATTAAAACCTGACAATATTAAATATTATTATTTATTTTATTTATTCTTTTAATGAATCATTTAATATTTATAATAGTTTATTATTAATTAATTAGTTATTAATCTATTGCATTATAATAGAAACTTAAAAAAGATAAAATATATATAAAAAAAATAATAATATAAATTTAAAGTTAAAGTTATAACAAATAATTTATAATATGGATATTAATAAATTATATATATAAAACTAATAAAATAAATATTATACTTATACTTATTTATTTAAATTTTTATTATAGTTGCTATCTAGTATTACTTATAATATCTTAAATTATTTATTAATTACTATTTTAATAATTATTAACATTAAAAAACCTTTTATAGAATTTTATTTATTTCAAAAAATAAAAAAAATATAATTATTTTTTTTATATTTTATTAAATTTATTTTTTTATAAATCTTAAGATATTAAATACTTTTATAAAATTAAAAAATACTTTATTTTATTTTTAAAAATATAATTTATTTAAAATTTTAAATTGTTATTATTTATATTATAATAAAATAATTAACATAAAAGAAATTAATGCTAATTATATATTTTAAAAAGGTTATAAAAATAATAAATTACAAATAAATTTAATATTAAATCTAAATAACTTTATAAAAATAAAGAAAATCTTTTAAAAGCTACAAAAATTTAATATAAATATATATTTAATTTAAAATTAAACTTTATAATTCAATTTAAAAGTTTATAATTAATTAAAAGTTTTTTTTTATTATATGATTTAAATAAAATAGTTAATATTTTAAAAAAATAACAAATTTAAATTCTCATAAAAATGAGTTGATAATTTATGATTAATCATAATTTAATTAATAAAAGAAAAATTAAAATTTTTTAGAAAATTATATTAAATATTTTATTTTATATTTTATTTTGTAAATAAAAAAATATTAGTATCTATTATTTTAATTATAAATATAGATAAATTCTAATAGTATTTAATTTACCAAATAATATAATAGTAAATAATATGATATAAAAACTGTTTTAATATTATTAACTAGATATAAATAGTCACATTTTACTATTATTTTATTTTATATAGCTGATAAAATAAAATTATTATCAATTATTATCTTTAAATTTATAACTATTTTATAAAATAAATTTTTTAATAAAATATAAATTAATACAATCAATTTATATAAAATATAAGTATATATAGAGCAATAATAATAGATTAAATTTTATGTCACGGGTTTAATTAAATAAAGTTATAGTATAAAATTAGTTTTATTAAATAAAAAAATTGTAAATAATACTATTCAATAATTTTAATAAGCTCTTATTCACAAACTATAACATTATGCGTAAATAATAAACTAAATTCAAAACTAATTATTTAAACTAATTATTAACTAACTGTTAAGATTACATGAAATTTCTATCTTATTTATATAAAACTTTTGATTTTATCTCTATTACTAAATTAAGATAAAATAAACTTAATTAATTACAAAAATATTGTAAATATTGTTAATTTAATTAACAAGCTTAATTAAGTAAACTATTTTAACTGTATTATTATATTTAATTTTATTAATAACGTTATCATTATTTTCATCATTTTGTAATATCAACTAGCTAATCATTAAATCATAATTAAGAGTCAATTATTAGTCTAATTAAATTAAGCTTATATTCATTAAAAAGCTTTTATTAAAAATAGTATTTCTATTGAAATACAATTATTAGGTTAAGAGTTATTTTCATTTAACAATATATAGTAATATTATATTTTAAAAAATAAAACTAATATTTTTATTTAAGCTATATAAAAAGTAATAAATAAGTTTTTAATATTTTTTATATACTAAAAATTGTGTTTATTTTTAATAAATAGTAATTAAAAACCTATATTGTATAAATAATATTAAATTTATTATTTATTATTTTAATAAAATTTTAATATTTTAAATAATTTAAAATAAATACTATTTTTTATTATAAAATAAAAGATTTATTATTTTTAATTTAAGTATTATGTCAAAAATTTATGCATATAGATTAAAATCTAAATTATTTAACATTCTAATAAGTATACCTATAAAAGAGTATTAACCTATTGAGTTTAAAAAAATATTATTCAAATTATCTTATTTAGATAATATATTCAAAAAATAAATATAATTATTTTACTTGTATTAATTCTATTATTAAATTAAATTTATTAAAATATTTAAAAAAATTTTTTTTTTTTTTAGTTTTAATATATAAAAGAGCTTATTTTAAATTATAATATTAAATAATTTTAAAAAATATTTATGATTTTTGATATATGTTTAAAATTTTTAAAAATATTAAAAATTCATATATGAAAACTGAGTTAGTTTTATAATTTTTAAAAAAAATTTTGTTTATTAAAATGCAAATTTATAATTAAAACTTAATTATAAATTTTAACATATATAATTAATGAATACATATTCTTGTTTAGTTTTTACATATAAAAATTATATAAAATTTTTTCTTTAAATACATATCCTCTTTAAATGCATATTTTTTTAAATTTTTTCATTATAATCCTAAAGGAATGCATTTAAAAGAGCTGATTATATTAGTTTTTATATTTTTTTTAATAATTTTTCTAAATATTTATATATTAGAATTATAATTATCACAATCTTTACTTATATATATAAACTATTATTTATGATATTATAGATAGAATTTAAGAAAAACTGAAACCTGTTTAAAGTAGAGTAGTTTTGGCTGGTATTACAGTATTAAGAAATTAAATGTGTAATAGATGTGATGAATAAGAATCTAATAAATAGAATTTTATTACCAAATAAAATGTGATTGGATGTGATACAGTTGACAAATTATTTACCATTATTACGTCAGGTTTTGTAACTTCAAATAAAATCTCAAAAGGGGTAAATAAAACTAAGACAATTACTCAAGGAATCATGGGTAAGGATTCACAATAACGTCGAAGAATTATTCTCAATAATAAATACGTGAGATAAATACAAAATAAATACAAAGATAACTCAAAGATATTTCAGAGATTACGCTTCAGAGACTCCAAGTCAATACAGCGAATCA